GGTCCTTTGAAGGGATATTCCGGAATGCTTTATGGATCTTTAGGGGTCCTTTAAGGGACATTTCGAAATCCTTTGCGGATCTTTAGGGTTGCTTCAAAGGATATGGAATCTTTTATTATGGCTGGCTGCAAGGGCACTGTTAAGGGAAAGAGTTGTTCCTTCTTTTCTGGCTGCTTTAGGGTTTAGGGAGCTTTCGGGTTTAGGGTTTAGGGTTTAGGGTTTAGGGTGGTTTGCTTCGCCTTCCTGGGAGGGTCGTTTAGAAGAGCGCGTAGTTCGGGGTTTCCCAGTCGGGGAACATCTGTGTCTAAGCACTAGACGGGAGACAGACTTTGCGAGAACTGTTTGCCATATATTTGCGCTATATCGGAAGGTTTGAGCTGTCATTGAACTTGTGCTAACCGGGGCGAACTCTAATCCCAAACCCTAAACCCTAAACCCTAAACCCTAAACCCTAAACCCTGAACCCTGAACCCTAAACCCTAAACCCTAAACCCTAAACCCTAAACCCTAAACCCAAACCATGAACAAAACCCACGATCATGAGCCCAGGCTATCTTGGGCCCAGAGCACAGCGAGCTGCAGCTGGTACTGCTATCTTGGCTTCGTCCCACCGAGGCAGAGCCAGGTTTTAGGAATTAGGGTGAAGGGCTAACTTGACCCTAAGGGTCCATGTACCCAAATAGTAGAACATTGGCCCTAAAGTACTAAACCCTAAACCCTAAACCCTAAACCCTAAACCCTAAACCCTAAACCCTAAACCCAATACCTCCACCCATCCCCAATCCTGAGCACCCTGCCTCAAAGTGCAGGGTTTCTATGCCCCGGGTTTAGGGTTTAGGGTTTAGGGTTTAGGGTTTAGGGTTCTTTACCCGAACATGATTCCATCCAGGACACCAGCCACCTTCCGGACTCTGCGGCGCCGATGCCCCTGGCGGACGGCTTGGTCTTCTGGCCCGGGGGAGGCCGGTCAGGAACGCGGACTTCGGGGTTGACTCATTGTCTAGGATTGGGGGTTTTGGGGCTGCACAGCTTTGGGCCCGTGGCGCAGAAGTTGGTCCGAAGGGCCATAATTTGGACAGGCAGCGATTGCTTCCCGCTGCCATCGCAGGTGGCAAAGTGGATGGGGACTCGATGCCCAAGCAGCATTTCGCCATCGCAGGCGAACCCGATGGATGGAATATTCGGAAGCCGTAAGCGATGGCCACATAAGATTGAGATGGGTCGGGGGAGAGGGCAGGTTGAATGAGGGCAGTGATGTTGGCATGCACGAGGCTCAGGGAGCATCCAACACCGAAGACGACTGTGTTCTTGGAGGTACTTTTTCCGAGTGGGAGCCACAGCCCATGAAGAAGGACCAGTTGAGCTTCGGATTTGGGATTCAACTTGGCGTCCTTGAAATCAAGCCGGACTATGTAGGTACGTAAGCCAATCCTCAAACTGCTGGAACCGAAGGGGATCTCGGTTCCGATCATGAGATTTTGGTCCCCGAGGTGTCGGGTTTCTAGGGAGGGAACCCTAAACCCTAAACCCTAAACCCTAAACCCTAAACCCTAAACCGAGTATATTTGGGACTTGATGAGTTTCGCTCAAGCATGCGGATCACGGGATGGAAAGGCCTAAAAGGCCTCTCGCCCTGATCCTGAGAGGGTTGAGGGCTTAGGGTTTAGGGTTTAGGGTTTAGGGTTTAGGGTTTGGGTACAACCAAGGGCCTACCGAAGTGTGCCCGACAAGCAGAAGCCTGGAAGCAGCTTCACAATTCATCAGAGCACGATGAAAGCCAACGCTGCTGTTGTGGCGCAGGAGTCGGAGGGCGTTTTCAGCTGCTCTGTCACGCTGGGCGAGAACAGGCCTACTGTGGTCAGACGAGCTGGCAACCTTCAGAGTCGACTTTTTGGGTTTGGGGGGAGGGTGCCCTGTTCCCAATGCGTTTTCGGCCAAAGCCGGATGCCTTCTCTGAAATGTACCTTTGGAGTTTGGGGAGTACAGGAGTGGCCTGTGGGATTGCTCCAGATGTTTTGATACTTCGCGTGTCAGATTTTCGTCGGAGGTTACATAGGAGGCCATGCGTGGTCTAAGGTAAATCGCTTGAGACCCGACAGCTCAACCGCAAAAGCGTGCTTAAGGCCGAACCTGTGCTGATTCTGATCCTAAAACCTAACCCAGGACTCTTGAGGCGAATCCCTGAAACCTGGGCCTGATCTCCACCTACACCCTTAAGCCTCAAGTCTTGAAGCAAAACGGCCTAAAAATCTAAGATCCCCTAGAGACTCAAACATTATACCCTTACACGCTTAATTCGCTTAATCTTTCGCCGAACCGCAGGTGGGAACAGTTCCAGATCTGGCTCGATGGCGACCCATTGAGGTCGGCTCTCTGGGACAGAGCCGTTAGGATCATGATCTGTGTTGGTACAACCAGTATAGCCATAAACTGTCAGTTTTTCTACTATCAGTACTATATTTATTACTATTAGTATTATTTTTATTATTATTTCTATTGTTCTTATTGCTATTGTCATGGTGATGTTGTCAGTACTATATGCATTATTATTTGTATTGTTCTTATTGCTATTGTCATGGTGGTGTTGTTGTTTATGACATTGGTGATGATGGTGATTATGACTACGGTTATTGTAACATTCTTGTTGTTATTGTGGCTACGGCTGCTTTGCTGCTATTAGCAACACATTGTGTATAG